TTTCACTATTTATTTTTTTTTAACACAAGAGCAAAAATTAATATAATACTGTTATACTATTGTTACACTATAATATTTTAACTTTTTGATACACAATTCCCAAATCGATCTTCTGTGAAATTAATACAATGACAGCTATTCTCAAAGTTAGCGCAGCGAGAGAACCCATCAAGGAAAAGCGTCAACAATAAACTTCAAAGAAATTTTGAGAGATGCAAGTATCGATATCAGCCTTTTTTAGAAAGGATTATTATACATATTTACTATTATTCTAAACAAACTTGATTACAATATAAAATAAAATTTAAGTGTAAAAATAAACATCCACCCATTTTTTATATTAATTTATTACAATTAATTAATTTATGACTATATTTTGCAATTTTAATATCTCTATTATTTAATAATATATTATCACGCTTTCCACGTGTTACACATACACTTAAATCAATGCACATGCAAAGTAAAAAATATTGCTATTAAAACACGTTATTGGTTAGAGTGAGATGGTGTATATTTCTTTCTCTCTCGTAGGATTTAGCCAAACATGATCAAACGGATCAGAGTTGTGGCCAATCTCTGATTGGCGAATCAAAATCGTGGCTAATCTCTTATTGTAGTGTCTCTACTCTCAGGTTTCTCTCTGACTTTACTATTATTTTTCAATATGAAAGGCGATTTGTTTCAACGCCATACTGCGCAGAATAAATCCAAATTGAGTCTACTTCACGAACACACCTTGTTTCTTTACACTATGGCTAAATCGCAGGCATGTCCGCTCTCAGGCTTTTCTCTGTGAATATTGTCCTGTAGGGCTTGTTCTACAATACGCTTGTTGTAGAATACGTCGTATGTCACAGGCTTAAGGCCTGGGAATCAATCATGTAACTTCATGTGAAATTTTTCACTTTTCATTTTTCACGCATTGACATTTCACGTGAAACTTTTCACGTATAGCGATTATGTATATAGCTTGGATGCGTGGAAAGTGAAATTATGAAGTATGGTTTTATAGATTTTATAGCTAAGAAAAATTATTTTATTGGTACAGTATTATATACATCTTTTAATAATTGATTGTATATGTACTATGTACACTTAATCCTAACGCAGTTCTAATCTTCTCTAATTTCGAATAATATTTATTAATTCCCTAGATTTCCGCCTTTTCACCATCAAGGTACATGGTGAAAAAGTTTATGTGAAAAATTTCACATTTGAGAGAGTTATATAATCCCGCAAAATCATACATGATCGTAAGTTCACGTGAAACTTTTCACTTTTCACGTTTCTGCCCTCGGGGAAAAGTTACATGATCGACTCCCTGTTCTACAATGCGTGTGTGGGTCGAGAGCCGTAAGAATGGACCAATCACAATCAAGTATTCTCCCCACATTTGACTGTGATTGATCAATTCTTGTGGTTGTGGCTTGCGACACCGACATACAATGTATTGTATACAAGCCTATCTGATATCCACTATCTTTTTCTAGGGAAAACGAAATAATTTTGATCAGAATCTATTTCGATTCGGAATTTTCGAACTCAGCTCTGAACAACATTCGAAAGAAAAAAAGAGTAGCACGAATGCAAAAATTTGGAGTGTGTTCATAAATAACGCCCGAGTACATCCAGGTATTAGTTTATTTTTGTTTAACATTCGATAAACAATAAGGATAAAACATTCAGTGTTTCTGAACCTAGTCCGGCGTTGATAGCGCGACCACGTAAACGTGGAATGATATCTTCGTTATGGAGTTAATGAGACCAGCAATTCTCACAGATTAACTTCACAATATATGGAGTGATACAAGTTTTCCTCCATTTTTTTAATATACAACTCGCTCGATGTATTGTTCTTCGGCTCTTTTAGTTTATACATACTTCAGACGTAATAATATTATTTATTCCACGCAAGTCTAAATGATTATTCACTATTGCAGGATATACATATAAAGATTTACGTTTGCATTACAAATATATAATGGGCATTGCCTAGAGTCAATAAGAGTGATTTTATGTTATAAAAGGCATCGGAGAGACAAAAAATGAGTGAGATAGCTCCCACGAATGATGTACCTGAGAATAATGGCGCGATAGAGCAATCCGCTTTCAACGGGGAAGCAGAACACGCTGGTGAATTGATTTGATATATTTAGGATGATTTCGACTTAGCTCTGATTAACTTAATTGGCAATAAATCAGAAAAATAAGTTTTAGAAAAAAATTTCTAATTATATAATAATTATAATTTATGTTAACAAGATAATATAAAGGAATAATATGACAACAGTGTGAGCAAAGCTTCTTAGAAGACACAAATTGGAACATTAAAACACAAAACCAATGTTTCAAAGATAAATATGTTTGTGATAAATTGTTCTAATGTTCTAAATTCTAACAATTTCCAGTTTTGTGTTCCAGAAGTTTTCATACTTATGTTAATTTTTCTTGTATGACACTTAACTCAAATCTTTATTTTCTAGAGTTATAATTAGAATTTAACTAAAGATATCACTAATGTTTATAACGATAGCAATTAGTAATTATTTTTATATTTTCTGTTTTATTAGCCAAGTCACCAATACATACAGAGGAGAAGGCACCAGATTCAGTATGTGATAACGGTGTTAAGAGAAGTGCTACTGCCACTGGCAACAGTAACATACCAAATAGAACAAAGAAACGAAAGAAGACTCCAAGAGATGCCACTGCACCAAGGCAGCCTTTGAGTGGTTACTTTCTGTAATAATCAAGCAAACTAATACTTTAGTATACATTAAAATATTGAATCTGTAATGAAATATAATATACATATAGATTCTTGAACGACCGACGGGAAAAGGTCCGAAACCAGAATCCAGGCTTAACATTTACAGAAATTACGAAACTTTTGGCTGCAGAATGGAGTAAATTACCAATCGATCAAAAGCAGGTTTGTTGCTTTTTATAATAACTCTTGTTGTTTCTTCATAACATTAATCAACTGATAAAAATGCTTGCAGCATTATTTAGACGCAGCTGAACAAGATAAAGAGCGCTATAATCGTGAATTTAGTGATTATAAACAAACTGAAGCATATCGACTGTTCACTGAAAAACAGTCAGAAAGGCAAAATGAAAATAAAAAGGAAAAGAATGGCGCGGACATGAATGTTGAACAAAATGTATGATAATATTGTTATACTTAAGACTAATTAGACAAAATTATGATACTAATAAAAAACTTTATCTAGGATGTCCAGCAGTATAAGGATAATGATTTTACAGGTTTTGATATCCCTATTTTTACAGAAGAATTCTTGGATCACAACAAAGGTATAAAAAAAATCATGCCTGCACACATGCACATACATTACACGAATATACGAAACCATAAATAATAAAATAAACAAACTTAAAAATAACGAAAATGTTTTGCAGCCTGTGAAACTGAATTGAGACAGCTGCGGAAAGCTACATCCGATTATGAAGCTCAGAATGCGGTCCTTCAACGGCATGTAGACAGTCTGCATGCAGCAGTGAATCGTTTGGAGTCCGAAACTAATCAACAACGAACGACCAATCAATCTCTGCAACGTCATTTGGATTCGATTCGTTCCCAACTAGCAGGCTGTTTTGCCACCATACCACTTCCAGGTCAGCATCCACAAAAATTTTTTCCGCTCTTATATCAATTCAAAGCTTTATTTACATTCGTGTAAATATCGAATTTTTTTGTAGGCACACACGACGGTGCTACTTTACAAAATATAGACAGTTACTTTGAGAGGTTGGAGTCTTTGTTGAACGGTAATGCCGAACAAAGTCTACGTAATGCTGTACGTAGTGCCGTGTCCCATCTCGAATTAATTGGATGACAATCACCTCCAGGAAATACAACCAGTGCGTCATTAAAACACCATCGTTCGAGACATTCACATCGAAAGTAGCAGAAAAATTTAGGTGTGTCTATTTTTAGCAGTGTGTAAATTCCGCATTTTCTCGTATCTCTCACAATAATTGCCTGTCATTTAAGTGAATTTACATATGTATTACAGCTAATTATTTATGGTATATGACAATAATTTACATTCTATACATCTATTTTGATTGAAATTTTATTTTGATGATACAACAATTTCTGCTGTGTATTTTAATTTAATACAGACTTAAACTGACTTATACATTTCTATACATTGGAATAGTTACATATTCATTGAGATCAAATTTTGATTAATCAAAGAATCAAAGATGATTAAAAATTTACAAAATTCAAATCATCAGCATTAAGAATATTTAACATTTATTAAATTATTAATCAATTTTGGTTCTTTTTATCACGAATTATTGTTCATATGTTTCTTCAGTTGATTCCATTTTAATCTGGAATTATAACAATTTTATATTTACATTAGCTATGAAAACATAAAAATTATTATTTCTAATTCAGACTTATGATTATTCTTACCTTGAGGCTGTCGCATTAGGTCGGTGATATTGTTCGGCATGAAGTATAATTGCTTCAATTGGCTGAGACAAATCGATTATGATACTTTTTTCTATCGACAAAACAGATTGCATGAATTCAAATGTAAATTGTGTATTTAACATCAAATATTTTTTTACTGCAGCAAAAACAGCAGTTTGGAATTTCTCCCTAAAAATTCGAAAATTGATAAATTATAAAGTTCAAGTATGCGCGCGCGCGCGCACACACACACACACACACACACACAAATACACACATAGAATGTTCCAAAATTATCTAGTATCTTTTCACTGACAAATTCTATAGAACATTTTAAGTCGAAAACCCTTAAAAATGTCAATGTTTATAATACTTTTTAAATAAAAATTGTTTAAAGTTGGCCAATCTACTTTTTTATGAAAGTAAGATATATCTGTCCAATAAATCATGTAAAAGTGTAAAATAATTCTTGGAATGTCACCGCTCAACTATCAGAAACAATTAGATCTAGTAATCTGGTGATTTCTGATAGTTAAGCAGTGTACTATTATTTCAAGATTTATTTTATATTTTTACATGATTTGTTGGAAATATATCTCACTTTCTGATATTTTTTACAAGTTTTAAGAATACGAAAATATCATGTTTTTAAAAGAAAAGTACAAGACAAAGCTATGCGACGCAAAAAACTTTTACATGTTATTTCTCGCCTTTGACGTCATAATTCAATATGGCTGCAGAGAGTCAATCAAGCCTTAATACATCATCATGTAAATAAAATTTAAAAATAATTTCTTCATCATTGTATGCAAAATTATATCAATATTTAAAAATCGAGTCATTGTATAAGAGCACTTTTACTATTGTGCGATATATCATGCCTGAGCGTGCGAATTTTCTGCAAACTGATTGATCAATTTTAAATGTTTCCCAATTTAAAAAGTATTACTGCCTCGACATTTTCACATAAGAATTTTCGTCTTAGAATGTTCCACAGTATCTATCATTAAAAGAATACCTGATTTTTTTGGCACCTTGTATATGTAAACTTCAAATATATTTTGAGATTTGTTCACCTGATAAATTTATCTTCTTCGTAATAAGGACTTTTAATTACATCATTGATAAAATTAATTGTATGCAATTTATGTGGATGGTGATCATGAACCTTCATATAGCATCCGAAAATGTTAGGAGAACAAATTTGGATAATGTGTTCCGTAATACATTTGGGATACTTTCTTCCTTCTTTAAGCAATGTTTTTATAAGCCAAGTTATCTGTGTGAATGTATAATAAATATATTTGCGATTACACTGTGTGATATTATCTAAAAATAATTATGATTGCGTACCAGATTGAAATATTTGTGTGTGACATTGTCAGATGATATATTATAGAAGTTCGACATCAAGATTTCGAAAACTAAACGCAGAAATTCACTCTTTGTCTCTTTAAAACATTCTAGTAATCTGTCAGAAATCTTAAAACTGCAGCCGCTGTTAATTTCAGTTATTAAAATCGGCAAGTATTGATTGAAAATATTTCTGATCAACGCTTGCAATAAAATGTCGCTTTTAACATTCAGTTTTTCTAAGCCCAGCATTACCCTCGAAAATATTTCTTTTCCCAGTTGTTTTATATACATCTGTGTAGAGTTCTCAGATACCAACATAATTTTATTAATAAGCGTTCTTAACATATCATTCGGTTGATTCTATAAAGATAAAATTTTGTCTAGTATACAAAAATTTCAGCAACAATCATTAAGTTATACATACTTTAGTGTACAGCGTCGGAGAAATGCAGAGAATCAGTGTACCAAGACATTTATAAATCCAGGATGCAAGTTCCGAATCTTTTGTTTCTTCCGTTATTGGTATCATGACCCATTTCTCTAAGTTTTTAAAATATGTTTTACATTTCGCGTTATATTGAAGTCTTTCTTGTTCAGACTGCAAAATTTTTCAGTTTTATTAATCCGTTCCTGATTCAAAGTATACCAGGGTGTGTACTCAAATTTTGTAAATAAATTCCCTGAGAAATTCCCTGATTTTCCTGGAATTTTAATCAAAATTCCAGAAAATTTAATTTTAAAATTTTTTAAAACAGTTTTAAAATAAATTTATTTTATTACATAAGCTTTTTAATATTCTTTAATCATTAATTTATTTTAATAATTATAAAGAGAAATTATTTGAAATGTGAATATTAAATTAAAGAATACTAAAAAAAAAATAAGAGCCATATGAAGAGCCATATAACAATTTGTCTACGATACATTTAACTTATCAGAGATACTTTGAAAAATGGTTAAATACACAACAAGTATAATGTATAATGACAAGGAATATTATTATAAATTATATTAATTAAATAATATATATTATAGAACTATATTAAAAAGTTAATATTAATGACGGTTTCTCTTTAGTGCGAGTATGCCCTTTATGTATCCTTCGATATATAAGACTGCGTTAACTTTTGACATAACTGGATACAGAAAATATAAGAAATAATTTTGTCAAAAAGAAATAAAATTTGAAAGTAAAATTTCAAAAATTTCCTTGAATATTAATGAAATTTCATAAACATCCATGATTTTCAAGGAGAAAAACTAAATCCCTTGAGAATTCCAGGTTTTCCCGGTAGTACTCACCCTGTATATGAGCATGTTGTGTACGAACAAATTAATACCTTTAAAGTGTTTTGCTTCTTCATGAACAACATTATAAATGTTAAAATAGATTCATTACTGTTCTTAAATTCATACATATCATAATCCGATAGAAATATTTCTTTGATCTCACTGAGATTGATAATGTAATTTTGCAGAATCTTTATATCTTCTTTATTTATGTTGTAACCAACAATGGAACATTTTATCCAAGCCTAGAAAAAATTTTTTATGAATTTTCTTCTATTCTGCAATTGTATTCTGTAATTATAATCTACAAATAATGAATAATAATATAACAAATGTTTATATATACGAACTTGGATAAGAGTAGTGTTGAAGTTTGGAATTTCTTTTTTCAAATTTTGAAGAGTTTGCTCATTTGCGAGAATTGATGTTAAATAATAGTGAGTGATTCTGAAGAGAAAATAGTATTATATTTTCGATAGTGATTTTCAATATTGATTTTCAGGTGAAATATTTTTACCTGATATCTTTCACACCTACTGACGCTGCAAAATGTTGAAATAACGATACAGCTGAGTGTTTATACTTTTTAGCAATAGTCGATTCTCTAATTGCTTCTGAAGTAAATATGACAGCTAGTTTGGAAATAATTTTATAATTGTCACCAATAAGTATGGGATCAAACATGGCAAGTTGGCGAACTCTGGATGGAACAAAACACCACAGTGCGTCCAACATTTTTCTGACACCATCTATAAGCAAGGTTCAACAAAAATTTGTTTATTTCCATCATACAAACTAGAAAATATATAATTTGATATCCATATATTTGAAATAAAGACAAAAACATACCAACCTGAATTATTACCAGAGATCTGCAAAGCAATACACTTTTCAAAAACATTTGCGAGCATTTCCAATAAAGATTTTCTATGTTTGGGACATTCCCGAAGATAACGATCGATCCAACCACTGATAAAATTGAACTCTCCTAGATCCATTTTCTCATTGCCAGACAAAATTGTATTCAATACGTCAACAAAATTGGTCATCATAGAACGAGATGTTTCATCTTTACAACAACTTATTAAGTTGATCTATAAACAAAAAATCAGAATATTTAAAAAAAAATTTATGATTTACATTCGCGCAAAAATGTAGAAAAATGGAACTTACTGTTTCTGTAAAATGTCCGATTATAAAATCAAAAGGTAATCTTCTTTCATTGAACAATAAAAGACATACTAATTTTCCTTTCCAAATTAGATTATATTTTTTATTATATTCATAATTCAATTCATGTGTAGATGGCAGGAGATCTAACATTGTCATGCACTAAAAGAATGTATATTAATTAAAAAATATATATTAATAAATAGTAATCGCACATTTTAACTTACCACATTTGTAATATCTGCAGTAATAGCTAAAGTAATAAATAAGGATATGAAGTTATAAAGGCCATTATCAGAAAACTCGGCAACTTTATTCTTTGAAAATTTTGTATATATACGCCCCTTAATTTGATTCCAATATTTCAAATCTGATGCACCATATTTTTTTAAAAAAGTGCCTAAAAAATTCATCTTTATAATGTAATCAACACTCAGAAAGTTTCAATAAAACTTACCTATCAAGTACAAAAACATGCTGTAGCTAGATTCCCTCGAATGTTCAAATTTACCATATATTCTATCATTAATTTGTTTCAGAATATCTATAGCTGTCTTCCTACAAAAAAAATATTCAATAAGTATAACTGCAAATATAACTGCAATTATAAATTCATAAAGTTACTTGAACATACTTTTCAAGGGACAGAACCCAAGGCCCAGAAGTTTGTAATAAAAATGGTTGATCCAATCTTTTATGGAAACAATCCCAAAGAAAGGATATAATTGGCACTCGCGGTTGCCACCAATTGATAATAAGATCATGTAATAATGGTATTATAATTTTAAGTTCTACATCAAGCTCATCTCTTTCACCATCTTTCCCACCTTTCCCTACATATTCTTTCAGAATCTTTTCAACTTGTTCGCAATTAGATCTAATCTATAAATAGACTCATATCTGTTACATGATCTATAAAATTTAATCTAATTTATGTTATACATTACCCTTGGAGAATTAGATTGCAGGTATATACCATCATTGTTATATCCATATAACAAAGATAGATGATATATTATCCAGATGGAAAACAGTTCTGGATTTTTACAATCTGGCAGAAAGAAATCTACACTTTTATGCCAGAATATTGTTTTGGATTGATCTTTTCTTAATACTCTGTTAGTACAGCTATTTATAAGATCCCAAAACATCTAAAAAATGTTTCATTCCAATAAAAATATATCTGGAAAATTATTAAAGTAATTTACCTTAGTTTTCATTCTTTCTCCTAAATTATCGACAAATATTTGAAGCATGAGCCACAATTCTCGCGTGCATGTACAATAATATGGTGTCTTTTGCATGAGATCCACAGTCCAATTCAAGACCAACTAAATAAGAAAAAAAGATTAAAATTTATATTATTATACAAATGCATTATATAAGTTCTTCCATCATTTGTATTACTTTTTCGAATATTTTCAAGGTAGAATATAGGAGATCATTGATAACCATTTCAACATTGTTTTCAAACTCCTCTAGTTGTGTATAATATTGATACCATATAGTCTTTGAATATATCAACGTAATGAAAAACCACCTTAATTCTATATGGGTATGATACAAATGAAACTCTGGTTGGTTACACTAAAATAAAAAAAATTATGTTATATGATTATGTATTTGCTTAAATAGGATGATAAATTTCTTTAACATTACCTTATTACCTATGTTAGAAGCAGCATAATACAAAGTTGAATCTGGAATACTGTATAGCATGCTGAAAAAGTATTTGATACAATCGAACAGAGCATCTATATCTTTGGCAATTTCAGGTCTCACCATCTCTAATGTACTGAGATCCCATTTTATGCTGCAATATCATATTTAAACTAAGTTATCGCAAAATTGAATACAGAGATAAAGTAATATTTTGTTACCTGTTCATATATGTACGGAAATATACAATAAATTCACAGATCATCTTCCGTAAAGAAAAATAATTTATCTTATCATTATTATATAATCCAGATATTGTAATTAGTCTCTCATGTCTGTTTAATATCTTCAATTGCATCCTGTAATAAAAAAATATATTTGATATAGAAATTGTAGTGACAAAAGAAAATTTGCTTTTCCTCAAAAAATATTCTTACTCCATGCAATTAATGAGATGCTTAAGATCCATCACGGCAACTGCTCCAGGCATGATGCAGCCAAAGAGTCTGACTTCCATGTAGGAAAAGGAATAATCGGTCTGTGGAAAAAGTACATTGTCCATCTCTTTATAAAACAGCCCATTTTTGTTCAACTGCCAATCATTGATGTTCACTTTACCGCTGCAATCGAAGGTAACATCGAAATCCATTTGTTTAAAACTCCTGTTAAACCATTTAATATGTTAATCGTATATAAAATCATAGTGAACATCACAGCTATACAAGCCTATTACAATAATAAATTTCTCATATTCGTAACTGCAACATCTGACTTACGTATCAAATGTGTTGTTAATAATCAAATTTAAGCAATGACCAATTTTGATTTGAGAGAAAACATGTCGACACAGCAGACGATTTTTGTGCGTTTTGGCGGCATTTCCAGTGGTCACATGATCACAATGTCAATTATGGCGCTAAGAATAATCAGAAATTATAAAGAATCAGAAGAGAGTACACAGAACATATACTAAGAGAAATGAAAGCTCTATACACTCGTGGATAATGAGGTTGCCATACTTTTTTTAAATAAGTTTAGGAACGCGTGATTAAGTTCAGGGGATCGATCATGTAACTTTTCCCCTAGGGCGGAAACGTGAAAAGTGAAAAGTTTCACGTGAACTTACGATCATGTACGATTTTGCGGAATCATGTAATTCTCAAACGTGAAAATGTGAAATTATTCACGTGAACTTTTTCGCCATGTACCTTGGTGGTGGAAAGGCGGAAATCTAGGGAATTAATAAATATGCTTCGGAATTAAAGAAGATTAGGGCTGCGTTAGGATTAAGCGTACGTAGTACATATACAATTGATTATTAAAAGATGTATATAATACTGTACCAATAAAATAATCTTTATTAGCTATAAAACCTATGAAACTATGTTTCATGATTTCACTTTCCATGCATCCAAGCTACATACATAATCGCTGTACGTGAAAAGTTTCACGTGAAATGTCAAAGTGTGAAAAATAAAAAGTAAAAAGTGAAAAATGAAAAATGAAAAATTTCACGTAAAGTTACATGATTGACCCCAAGATTATAAGCACAGTGCTATAAGATTGTAAAACGTGGTTGTAAGAACCTATTTAAATGAATTATTTTCATTTCTTATGCTTAATAATCTTACATTACAGTATAAAATAAAATAAACATATCTATTTAATTAATATTATTACTTTAAAATAAAAACATAAATGTAAATATATACTACAACGCGAAACATGGCATTTCCTCGGCAAGCAGGATCCTGATTGCTAAAATCTTTTAATATGAAATAAATTCAATTAATTATATTACTAACTAGGTGCTGTTTTGGTTTAGCAGACTTTCAACGTAGTGGTTCTATAATAATTCGATGATCAATATTATTGATATCGATTAAAATCCTTTTGATAATTTTCGCAATATATATTTCTGATGGGGAGGAACTTACTTAATAGACTAATTAAATAGACTAACACCATCTTTTTTTTATTATGACATTTTGATGCATCAAAATACTGGCATTTTTACGGAAATTAATGATTATACACGCACTGACGCTGTAAGATTCAAATAAATATCACGTCACATACACAGAACTACCGCCATTTTCTCGCACACAACCAGAAACCGCATGTAATGCAAATCCAAAGTTCTAGTTAGCAATCTAGTTTAGTATAGACATCTGTGGACTGAATACAAAAGAATCGATTCTTTAAAAGATCGATTCAAAATTGTCAATCCCCACTGAGCCGTATCACCGTTGTTTACAAGCTCGCGCACGGCAACGTCAAAGATGGCGGTGGAAGCGAGGAATGCGTCGGGCGGAGAGACCACGTGCGCGTGAATACAGACAGGACGCGGGACGCCACGAGCCCGAGGTGTTGCTTGCCGTACGGACGATCCGTCTGAGAACAAAACGCGAATCATTCGATCCGTGACACGCGCATCCGGACTGAATCGGACGCATTTGTTCGAGCGGTCTGCCAAAGGATCTCGCGCCTGCGATTCGATGACTCATCCCTTCGCGATCGAGTAATGATGGTTCCGTAAGAAGAAACGTAATCGAGACGAAAAGAGCCGTTCAAGTACAGGCAAGCATGAACGTCTTTAAGGATCTTCACGACGAGGTACGGCTTATTTCTTCTCCGGATTTCTCCTTTTGCATCCATCTCGAGACGTAGGTTAGCTCGCTCGTGTCAAAATTGTTTGTCCCGATGTAAACATCCTCGGCATATCTTTACAAGCCTCCTTTTTTTTTTGTCTGAAATCTAAATGCATGTTGTCCGCGTTTTGGCCTGAATGTCTTTTTTAATATTAATATTTAATATTAATTACATTCCTTTGTTTTGGAAGAGCAAAGTACAAGCAAAGGTTCCCACTTTATAATAAATTCATTCTTACTGGTACTTTGATTACATATGATATATCACACATCTTTTTTTTGCAATCAACAAGGCTCTTTTTATTTAAGTTTTAATGATTGTGCTGTTTACAAAGATAAATTTATAAAGATTTATAAGAGAAAGAGAAAAATAAGTTTGTTGTTCATCTTCACAGCCTCCTTTGTTACAAGCCATTTTCCATGGAAATGTGGAAGCAGTTCGTACATTACTATCACAAAAGGAAGATGTCAATTGGCAAGACAAAGAGCAACGTTCTCTTTTACATGCAGCTGCATATAGGTTAATATTTTAATTAATACTGGAAATCTGACAAAAGTTACTTTGATTATATAAATGATATTGATGTTTTAGGGGAGACACTGCTATTGTAGAACTTCTCTTGTTAAATGGTGCAGCAGCCAACAGCAAAGATAAGAAATGGTTGACTCCTTTACATAGAGCCTGCTGTTCAGGCAATTATAATGTAGTAGATATTTTGTTGAGATACAAAGTTGATGTTAATGTCCGAGACCGTAGCTGGCAAACACCTCTTCACATTGCAGCAGCAAATAATGCTGTGCAATGTGTAGAACTATTGATGCCGCATTTGTTAAATATCAATGTTACAGACAGGTATATTTTTGGTTATATCATTGGCCATTAATGTGACAACAGATGCATAATGGAAAATCACAGATATAATAATAAGTTATTGATAAATAATAAATATATATATTATCAAGTTGATTAATTTCTACAGAGGTGGAAAAACATGTCTTCATCATGCAGCATATAATGGACACCTTGAGATGTGTGAATATCTAATACAATTTGGTTGTGTGGTAAATGCCTCTGATAAGAAAGATCGAAGAGCCTTGCATTTTGCAGCATACAAGAGCCACAACGAGATTGTAAAGGTGTTAATAGCAAAAGGCGCTGACGTGGACGTTAAAGTACTAATTTATTATGAATTTTGGTTAAACACTCTTAGATGTATTGTATATATGAATACTTTGTATATTTGTGTGTTAAGGATCGAGATTTGTATACTCCATTACATGCAGCAGCCGCTTCTGGTAATGTGGAATGTGTGCATATTTTAATCGAAGCTGGTGCGGATATTGAGGCAAAAAACGTCTATGGAAATACACCTTTGCATATCGCGTGCTTAAACGGATATCATCTCGTGATCAAAGAACTCATCGCTAATCATGTCAATTTAGGTAGGCCATTATTATCATTATCAATATCATGATTTGCAGACACTCAAATGAGCTTTCTTCATAACAGAGGCTGTGAATTATCGAGGACAGACTGCATTGCACGTCGCCGCTGCCAGCGTACATGGTGTTCAGTGTTTCAAGATGCTGATATACAATGGATTGAAAGTTAATGTTCAATCAGAAGACGGTCGTACACCGTTGCATATGACTGCGATCCATGGCAGATTCACAAGATCAAAAACGCTATTAGATGCAGGAGCGTTTCCAGATGCAAGAGACAAAAATGGGAATACGGCATTACATATTGCCGCCTGGTAAATAATTTGAAAGATATTTTTATTTTGTATTTTTTTAATCATTGTGACATAGAACGAACGATTCGCAGGTTTGGTTTTGAATGTTTAACGACATCTTTACTGGAGAGTGCTGCGTCTCCAGCTACACGTAACGCACAACAGCGTACGCCTTTGCATCTAAGTTGCCTAGCAGGACATATAGAAGTGAGTCATACATGTTGCAATATCTAATTTACATATATATAATATGTAATAACGATTATAATAACAATTCGATTCTTCTCGCTCCTGTTGTAGGTTTGTAGAAAATTATTGCAGCTTGATAGCAGACGAATTGATGCGCGGGATATCGGTGGCAGAACAGCTTTACATTTGGCAGCATTTAAAGTAACGTATTACTTAATTCTAATCTTTTACTTTCAATGTATGCTTTTTTTAATTTAAAAATATAAATATAAATATATTTATTATCGTATCAGAGAGACTATTGAGATTATTCTAAATAGGGATCTGTGGATTGCTTGGATTTGCTCTTATCCAGCGGTGCCAATTTCCGTCTTGTCGATAACGACAATCGATTAGCCCTTCATCATGCTGCATGCCAAGGACATTATCCTTGCGTCTTCACTTTAGTCGGGTTTGGTAGCGATTCAAATGCTCAAGACGTGAATGGCGCGACGCCGTTACATCTGGCTGCAGCAGCGTCAAATTCTAATGCTGAGTAAATATCATTTCGTCCTTATTAAATCGATTTTTTACGCTTATCTGTTTATATGATTTGTCTTTATTTCATACAGATCCTATAAATGCGTGCAATATCTGCTACAGCATCGGGCAGATCCGTGTTTACGCGATAAACGCGGTTTTACTGCTATTCACTACGCGGTAGCAGGCGGCAATAAAGCGGCATTGGAAGCATTGTTGAACGCATCGTCACCATCTTCGGATTTAACAGCTTCACTTATTTCTTCGGTCGGACAGGAACCGTCTCTGCCATCACTCACGCCGATACATCTCGCGGTATGTAAATGCAACAAATATACAAATTAAAACTATTTACCATCAATGAAGTATAAAATTATATACTTAATTTGTAAAATGTACATTACCAGGCGTATCATGGTCACGATGAGATCTTACAGTTGCTCCTACCTTTGTTCCCTAATACAAATATCAAAGAAGATAGTGGGAAGACACCGCTAGATTTGGCTGCCTATAAAGGACATAAACAATGCATCGTACTCCTGTTGCGTTTTGGCGCCTCTGTGGCAGTGCAAGTAAGGAGAATTTGAATTTTCCGTTTGATATATATATATATATATTACATTCGATTTACACGTACTATCACATAATATCATCGGACGGATTTTCAGGATTTTGTCACGAAACGAACGCCTGTGCATTGTGCCGCCGCGACGGGTCACGCGGATTGTCTCGCCCTTCTTCTACAGAACATGGATGATCCTAATGTGGTGAATTGCTACGATTCCAAATTACGCACAGCTTTGACGTTGGCAGTGGCGAACAATCACCCGGAGTGTGCGATGCTGCTGCTGACGTATAAGGCTGATTGCAATCTACCAGACGTTAATAAACATACACCGCTGTTTCGCGCGGTAATTAACGAACGCGATAACCAGTTAGTAAAACTACTGTTAAAACATGGCGCGCAAGTGGCTGTGCAAGATGTAAACGGAAAAACACCATTACACTTAGCGGCAGCTTGTGGCAGGTAAGGAGTTATGTTTGTACGAAATTTTGTCACGGTCAGAATAGACTTATTTTACACCCCGAGTTTATTTGCAGATTGTATGCTTTAGCGGCACTCGTTAAAGCCGATCCGACCACAGCGGCTTTGAAAGACGATCAAGGATGTACGGTGCTCCATTGGGCGTGTTACAATGGCAATTCAAACTGCGTGGAGTATCTTTTGAATCATAATGTGTTTGATTCCTTGGAAGGCACGTAATTAGTTGTCCATCAAAGAGAATTATCCAATATAACATGCATCAAAATAATTGTTTTTATTATTTAGGTAATCCATTCTCTGCTGTACATTGTGCCGTATATCAAGGATCCGCGCCCTGCTTAGATTTGTTGATCAATAAGTTTGGCGGACAAGCAGTTGCTGCCCCGAGGGATTCATCATGTGGATTACTACCACTGCATGTTGCAGCGAGTGCAGGATCCGTTGAGTGCGCGCGATTAATTCTAAACTCCGTCGGGCCGGAACTAGCTGGGCTCGAAACAACCGACTATTTTGGACGGACACCACTTCTTTGCGCGGCCGTTAATGGACAGTGCAATGCTATTGGTAATTTTATCATTCTGTAATGAATATGCAATATAATTACACGCTTATGTTACGTTTGTATTAACGGATATATCCTTAATAGAATTACTGCTTGAATGGAAAGCCAATGTACGCGCTGTCGACTCTAATAAAAACACAGCATTACACCTGGCATGCCAGAGACGTCATTCCGCTGCGGCGTCATTGCTCTTAAATTGGATCGAGTCTCTCGGTAACTCTGACACTGATAAGAACGCATCACAGTCACAACGCGTTTCCGTTATTAATATGATCAACAAACAGCAGAGAACACCACTACATCTGGCAGCAAGAAATGGTCTTGTGACAGTAAGTTGATATTGTGTTTAATCATATATTATATTTTTTAAACATTTGAATGCACATTAGCTCTTCCAATTAAATCAAAAGCAATAAAATAAATGAGTCAAAAATATTTTACACACACACACACACACACACACACACACGCACGCGTGCGCGCGCATACAAAACACACATATAATATAAGAGAAATAGAGAGAGAAGTAATAATTTATATAGTTTATATTTTTTGTATATCTATTTTGGAAAACTTACTTGTTTTATTATTTTTAATTTAACCGGAAAAGATAGTCTTCAGACTTTTAATAAGTAATAAGTAACATATTTTCTGTAAAAAATATTATTTTGTTTAGATCACGCGACGATTATTACAATTGGGTGCAAGTGTCATAGCTGTCGATGCCGAAGGACTTACGCCTGCATTAGCCTGTGCTCCAAATCCAGCAGTGGCTAAGTGTTTAGCCACCATTCTCGCTGCGCAAGGTAAATCTTGTTATCTGTTATTTTGTCCTAAAGATATTTATGTACAGTATAAGATCACGATGTTTCCATCAGGTCAAAATGGAGAAACTGCACAATACTCGCCGGTTATCCAGCATACATTGGAGGTATATTTGAATGGCGTAGACTCGCAACACAGTTCCGATTCAGAGTTTTACTGACAGCGAGCGTCAGTACGCTCGACTCGTCAAGCGTTTCAAGTGATGAACTCAAGATGCGGTAACATCGACGCTACTAGACTGATCTGCTATGGGCTCTTTTCCATTCTAGCGTAATTAGTCTTCAAATTCCGATAAACTGGATGAAATTGCTGCATCGGCGAAGATCTCCTTTAGTGACTAGATTCATAAGTCAACAATTGTGACAATACCGACGTCTGTGCTATTGAGAACTCAATAGAGCAACTAATCGACTGCCAAGAGGGATACGGCTATACGTATGTATCTTACCAGAGTTAATTAACATGTTCATTGTCCGGATATGTACTCTTTATTTACGTCTAAAAAAGTGTGCTATAAATGTCTTTTAATCATTTACTCTAAAATAATGTTATAAAGGTGCATGATTCAATGCGATCAATTAGTAATTGGTGGATAGGTGGATAAGTTCAAACTTGATCCTTATTCTATATTTACAAGATAATCTCGCAATTTTTTAGAGTTTCTTGTGAAAACTTATAAAAAGATTAAAAGGATTCGTGTATAAAGCACTTGATTAAGAGGTGAAAGGAAAATTAAGAACAGAAATCCTCAATTAAGACTCGAGACAAAATTAAATAAATTTGTACATATCTGAATAGATAGGTTGAAAGCATGATAAAGAGTAAAAATTACTGCTCTCAGTGATGCCAGAAATGGGACGCCGTAAAGTTAGTTGCAAGTACTACATACTAAAGAGGCCTTATATGTACATACATACATATGTGTATATACGTATGCATGTAGCTCTTCTATAGTGTATGTAACATATTAAACCTACAACCAACTTCGGCTATGTTCTCATTTCTCGTCTCATTTCTGGCATCAATGTCGTGCAGTGAGGTTCTGCAAAAAAAAGAAAAAGAAATAACGTGTTATGCAAGGATATTTACATTTCTTTCAGATTTGATAACAATGCCATGTACATAATATGACCATTTTAAAACGAAATATTTTTATGATACTGTTGAAATATGTATAATGTTTTTTATTATACTGAGAGAGTCATTCTCGGCAAGCAGGATCTTGGTTGTTAAATTTTTCTATATGAAATAAATTTAAACAATTTTATTATCAATCATGTTATTATCACTATTTTTAGCAGGCTTATAACATTGCGGTTCTACAATAATTCGATAATCAAATACCAAGATCCTGCTTGTTGAGGAATTGGTTATGACTCTCCAGTGTTTATTAACATACTCGACTTATTTCAATGTATTGTTTTTTATATTTTATTAAACAGACTATAAATTTCAGTTGAATCATATGTATTTTTTTGGAGTAAATTTCTTATATTTAAATTACGTTTCTAATTTAATTATTCATATAATCATAATAATCATAATAACCATAATAATTTAAGACAATAATACAGACCTCATTCTGTATTAAGAATGTTAATGGAACTATATATGGATCAGCGGAAATTCAAGCTATCCTAAATTACATATCAGTGGACAGTGAATATGTTAATAATAATTAATAGACACTTAGATATATTTAGAAGGTGAGCGAGCGATATTGAACACAGTATTGAAAATGCAATTATGTATGTGCGAGATACGATGTTTTATATCAAGATATTTGTAAAAATTAAATGTTATAATTTTATTTTAAAATCTGTCAATTCAATCAATTGGTGTGGAAAAAACATGTTAGTTTTTTTTTCTTCTAATATGCTTGCATATTACTAATTGCATAATTTTTTTAAAACAATTATGTATCTTGTTTACATCAATTGATTTGCTGAATTGATTATTCTGTAAGAAATAGATGATCGTAAACGGTCATGAAGAGATTCGGATTATAAATAGCTAACTATATAAGAGCCGTCGTGATCGTGCAGACCAAATGTCTTGGTAGTAAGCGAGGGATCCCGAGTTCAAATCCAGTCGGTCTCCGTTTATTTTTTAGAATTTAATAAATATCTGTCAATTCTGTGCGTAAAAGTACTTAAAAGTCTTAAAGGTTATTAAAAAGTAAATAGTTTACGAGATATTTTATATTTTATATCAAAATGAAATGTATCAGAATAAAGTATAAAATATATCTGGTAAACTGTTGACTTTTTAATAACTCGATACTTTTATATTTAAAATAACTAGGTATCATATTATGTAACAAAAAATATATTATTTCGTTTAGAAAAATAGCAAAGATAAAAGAAAATATTGACAGTAGCTCCATTTGCGAATGAATCAATATTATAATTATATGATCCCTTCGAAATTCTACAGCTTTTGTCTGAAAAACTCTTCTCAAAACTTTCCAAAATATTCAATCATCCCGGAACATTTCGAATACATTCTATGAGCGCGTACATGCGTTATCGATCGTATTATGATTAGCATTAACTAATAGAAGAATGATCAATGCATTAGTGTCAATTGTTTTTCTCAACAATTTACATTCTAACTAGTGTAATATTATCCAGGATTTCTAGTTTTAAATTTGGAGTTAAAACGGTAGTAATTTTCATTAAAAAAAGTATAAAATTTCGTTATAGCGCTCAACTGTATTCCTCTTGGATATTGCTACGTATTACACATATATCTGTTACATATAATTAGAATCGTAGCTTCGTCGCACACACATTTGTGTAGTTTCATTTTGTAATAATTTTTAAATGTAGCAATATGTAACGCACATATAACTCCTACATTTTGAGCGATGTTTGTCTGTATAATTCTATTTCTAAATGACATTGGTTAACGTCACGCATAAAAATAGGATTCTCTCATAATTGGTTAATGAGAGTCTCAGATATGGACCACAGAGAATAATAAAAATAACAACAATAACAACAATAATCGCGAATACAAGTAATAATAGTTACATAAGTAAGTCTCAAATGCAATTATAGATTTAATGATAAAACAGCGGCGTATCAGTTTTATAGTCGAATAGATGTAACAATAAAAAAGGGCATAATTTGTTTGTAGAGTAAGCAATTAGATGTCAATGCAAATATCGACAGAAATGTAAACAGAATGTAGTAATGCTCAATTAATTGCATTTACTAGATTATCATTTCTCATTAGTTAGCTGGACGTCTTCCATTCTCAGCAGCAGTTTTAGTTGAATATTTCGACATACGACTTCTATATTTATGCACTTTATCGTATTCTATCTGTTTTTATATAAAATAATTTTATATATATTTTTTTTCTCACGCAAACGCAATCGCTCAGATATTAAGATTCAAATCGCGCATTTTGAGAAATCTTTTAATTCATTCGGAGTTTCGTCGTGTAAGAAAGTATAGGGTTACGATTTAGGAGATACGGATAAAGGAGAAAATGCCGAAGGTACGAATCTTTACCAATGTTCAAACGTAAATATTGAAGCGAACCGAATTAAAAAACCCCCCTGAAAACTCTATGTGATGTGGCCGAGAAACGAATATCTAGCTATTTTCTTAGAGATTTGTAGAAAAGCCTAAACTGCCTGACTGTAATTGTACGTCGAATGAGAAGATAAAACTTATAAATGTAAAGTATGTAACAGCCGATTAAGGAATTGAATCGGAATACGTCGAAACATTTTATGTTTAAACGTTTTATTTGCTTTCTACATTCTCCATTAACATTTTAATTGCCACAATAATATCTATACAAGACGTGACTATATTTTCTTTAAAGTTATGATTGAAATTAAGATTTTTATTTAATTTTGATTATAAAAGTTTAATCTATATTCTTGAATATAATTTTCAAGCACTGTAAGCATTATTCACGTATTTAATGTGTCGATCAAAATATTAAGGGAGGACATTCAACGCGATGATCGTTTCATTTTATTTTTGTACTTAATAAACTTTCTCCCACGGTTTTTGCATTTAATAGATTGTAAGCGTGATTAAGCGACGCTAATGTGATCGATATAGAAAATTATGTACTCCATCGAAGGACATTGTAAGTTTACTGTACATATTAGTAATCCAATTATCACTTGCGCGTAAATGATTATGCAGTTAATAAAATTGTTGATACTAGGCAATTGCGATCTCCAATTTGTACATGATTTTGTACTTGCGACTGTTGTATAAAAACAGAAATGTGAGAAGTATCGAGTGTCGTGCGTTGTCTCTCAAACGCGCGAAACTCCACATCGCTGTAATATGTATATATATCGAGAGAATTATTTTTTCTATACTCCTTCCTCACGTACGATTTTACATGTAATGTCGTATTACATGGATATTATATTTTAAGGAGTTCCATCGATATCATATATCTGTATCACAAACATTTATACATAATTAATACATGTCATTGCGTTTTATTTTTTACACATCGTGACTCGATAATTTGTTCGTTTTACCCTCAGGATACCTATTATGGAACTGTGCGGAGTCGATTTCGATCGGAATAATTACATTTTTCGACGCTTGTCTTATTATTAACATTCAGATTGTTTTCGAATTGATGGGAAAAAAATTTTCGACACCTCAGGAGCAAGCGAAAAGCCGATTCCGATCGGAATAAAATAATGACAACCAATAAGTGTTGATATATCTAAACGCATATATCCTGCGTATAATGGAGGAAATATTAGAAATATTAAATTTTGAAAATGAAAAGTGAATAGATATCGCTATATTTACTTGTGTCCATTGTGAATAGATATCGCTTATATTTACTTGTGTCCATTGTGCGTTACGTTTAATTTCTATTTCGAATTTTCATTTCCAAAATTTAATCCTGTTTCTTAATCCATTTTACTCCATTATCCGTAGGGCCTAAAACAGTTATATTATATCCAGAATTATTAAAAGATGTTTTTATTATTTGCGTTACATTAATGTAACACATTTATGTCATTGTTCCATGGTAGTTTTTTCTTTCCTATTTATTAAATAAATGAAACGCACATGTAATAATTATATGTATAACATATATGTGAAATACATATATACAAAGAATACATATATTATGCTTACATTTAATATGTATATACTTTAGGTTACTTTGTAATTTACGTAAAGTTAAGCTTTTCTTTATGTAACTATATTTTCTCATTTTTCATCATTAATTATTAGTTTAAATATGGAACATATTTAAAATATAATTAATGTATTTTTTATATTAGTCATTTTATTATTTTATGAGATATAGTAAATTATGATAATGTTCTGACATACGATGTTTACCATGTAAATGTATTTCACAATCTTATTTTTCTTGTACTATGATTGGTCATTCATTCTACTCGTTCCTCTTGTTTAACTTATTACCAATTAAAATCTAACGATCCTATCCGACAATCCTATCAATCCTATCAATTAAAACGAGCGGAAAGTTGATAAGTCTTATAATAGCCCCAAATAATCTTTTCGGGGCAATAAAATTCTGGAGCTTCCTAATTTCATTGAAATATATCAATTTATATTTAAAGCAAATTATATTCGTTGAAAAGTGTACGTGCCAAGTGACAAGCGATAATTTGTTGCTACATTTTATTGATATGCGAAAATAAATAAACGTTTATACCATCGCGATAGACGAGTCGAAATTGATGTCTCTGATGTCATTTTATAAATATTTTATAAATATATTATAGTAAATTACATAATGACATTATATCTAATATATATAATTAATATTTACAGAGAGAGTTTATTACACAAAGAAATATGAACAGTTTTCTGTATAAAAAATTGCGCCATAAAAAATAAAATAACAGCACTGAAAAAATTTATATAAAAATGTCACAAATTACATAAAATTTCAGACAAAATGTACGAGAATGAGTCAATAATTATCTGCAGTGTAACTATAATTTTCATTACAATAACAATAGAGTTCTTACAAAAACATCACTTTTTAATGCATCTTCTTGCTTTTTAATGCATTTGCTCCATTGTAGCACAAACTTTTTTATACTCTCAGAAAAAAATATTTTTAGAAGGATCTTTGAGAAAGATGTTTCTGAGAAATGAGCCACGCATGCATCACTTTTTTTAATTCTTGGTTCAGAGAAAAATTAGGGTCTCTTAATATTTCTAATATGCATGTGATTTATTTATCACTTTAGCAATAGTTATCGATCTGCTTGACAGAACTATGTCATGCATTTATTTGTCAATGTTGTTATCGACAATGGACGTAGACCGGCTTCTTTTTCATGTGTAATATTTATATGATTATTATTCAACTTTCATTCCTTTTGTTATGGCAACATACTGTGTATCATACTGTGTTGAAATTCTTCGATGTATTGAAATTCTTCTTGGATTTCAAGTCCTGATACAAATTGCTTTTAATTCACAAAAAGATGAATCACTGCACATGATCTTCTCTAGCACAAACGGAAAATGGAATGGTCATGATTAATCGACAATGAATAATAAAATTGACTTGTGAAAATCAAACTTGCATGGCTGTAATGAGAGAGAGAGAGAGAGAGCCCATATCCTTATGTGCGCGCAACAGTAGTACGTAAAGTAGCCACGTAAAAAAATTTATAACATCACTGTGAATAATTATTGATTCATTCTCCTATATATAGTATAATTACTATAAAGTGCAAAATTATAAAATTTAAATTTATAGTCAACATCACGCTAGGAATGTTCATAATATTGAAGAAACATTTGGTGATGATAGAAATTATATCCAGAGTTCGACGTAACTTTCAGTTTATTGTATAAAATAAATAAATAACTATCCTAAACTTAATTTAATACTGCAATTTCGCATAAGGATTATTTTTATACAAAGTTCTTCCGGATTTCTCTTGTTAAATGCACACATGTTCGAGCGTGATGATGCTTGTGATTCGTTGGTCCCGAGTCGATTCCTTTTCAGTTTTAGTATCCTCTAACTTTTCTGGAGACAATTCCAGGCAGACGTTATCGTAAGTATACACGTTCGCCGCGATATTTGATTGTTTCTCCTCCGAGATTGACGTAAACCGCTGGAGGATGACGTTCGTTGGTTGGACCATAAGTTGATTGGACCACAAGTTGGAAGAGCTCTTGTTGTCGCTCAATTTACTGGAAAATTTCATCTCGATATCATCGAGACTGCGTCCCCAAGTCTCCGGCAGTATCGCCAGGGCGAAAATCGCGCCCAATGCGCTGGCTACGCCGAATATCCACATTGTGAATTCTAGACCGACGATGACATTCAAGTCTGGATACGTTTTGATCGTGACGAACGTTAATATCTGCACGATACTAGTCGTGAGACCTCCCACACTGCCCCTAAACCTTAGTGGGTACAACTCTGAGGTCATGACCCACGGTAACGTTAAGAAGCCGATCATAGACGCACCAACGTGAGTCCCGATGCAGAGTAGCGGCACCCATGATGGGAGATCAAACCTGGCCACAAAGAAAATCGTATTACTTCAAGAGCCTAGAGACTTCGAAAGATAAGAAGAAGCAAACAAAAAAGTTCTAAAAATTATCTATACGAAAGTGTAGGAAAAAGATTAAATTTGTTTTGATTAATTTGATTTATTTCTAATATATTATCGAGAGATTAAAAACTCTGATTATTCAAAATGCGAACCTGAAGGAGAGAGCTACTCCCACGGCTGCGATGGCCATTCCGAGACCACTCGCGAAAGCCAGGATTTTTCTGCCAAAGCTGTTGGCCAATCCAGCACCAAGGATCGACGCGAATAGCCTGATAAAACCCATGCCGACACTGGCCGCGTATTCATTCACATCTATGCCGATATCTTTCAATACGCTCACAGCGTAAAACAAAATTACGTAAATTCCGGATAACTGCTGAAGCGCAAAGAAAGTGAGAAGTATCAGGAACGGTTTCCACACGTTAGGTTTGTGCAGTGCTCGCAGCAGACTATTTTTCTTTTCCTTTCGTTTCGCGTTCGCCTCGCAGAGTTCTCGATATTCTTTATCGGCATTCAATCCAGGACCTCGTAACCACAAAAGAGCCTCTTTGGCCTCATCCGTTCGACCCCTCGATACCAGCCAAACAGGAGTTTCCGGTAGCAGCCTGCAAAGTTTTCATTTATGGCATAGATTTATGGAAGAACTATTGATTCTTTGCAGAAATATTAAAAATTTTGGAATTTTGACATGATAGGATTTTGTATGCAAACATTCATCTCTTGTTTTATAATTGTAGAAAGAATTTGAAACTAAAATAATAATAATAATAATAATAATAATAATAATAATAATAATAATAATAATAATAATAACAACAATAATAATTACCGCGACAATGCGAGCGATAGAATTGCGGGTCCGATGCTGATAGCGGCTGCTTTTTGCCACGTCGTGACGGCACCTAAACTATATACCATCAAGACACCCAGGGAAACCAGAACTGGTCCACAACTTGCGAGCCAGGCTCTTTGATCTGGAGCCGCCGCCTAAATGAAAATCAGATAGATCTACTTTTAGGACTAAAAAAGTTGGTCGTAATTAATCGCACTAATTAAAAGTTGATGATCGTTATGCCTCTAACATCACTACTGTACATTTTGTTAATAAAAAGCTTCGCAATCACACAGTCGAGACAAAAATACATGATTCCTTTGTACGTCAGAGATGTATTTCTGACGTACCTCGCTGACGTAGAGATAGAGTCCATTGGCCATGCCTGTGCCGATGCCGCTAACAAACCTGCCGGTATACAGCATAGGCATGTTCCTCGATAATGCGATCAGCAGCCAGCCGATGATGTGGGGTAGCGTGGCTAGGGCGATCGCAAATCTGCGGCCGAAGCACTCGGCGCAAATTCCGGCGACGAGGGCACCGAGGGGATTCGAGACGACACCGAGGGAGGCGATCCATGAGGCCTGTGACTGATCCGCGAAATTTGTCTCAAAAAGTTTTGGTATCAAGATCGCGCTGTATCCCTGAGAAAGTCCCACAGAAATCTGACCAGAATGCGCGGCCAAGCCTGCGAGGATCTGAAAACGATTATTTAATGAAATATTGATTGTACAAACGAATACATGTGTTTATTAATGCTTAATTAATATTAATTAGTTATTATGGCTTGATATATGTATGTATGTATACATATATACATGGTGTGTGTGTGTGTGTGTGTGTGTGTGTGTGTGTGTGTGTGTGTGTGTGTGTGTGTGTGTGTGTGTGTGTGTGTGTGTGTAAGGACACACGTAGAGAGAAAACAAGATTTTATTTTATTAAATTGATAATCTGCCAATTTTATTAAATATAATATAAATTTTCTAGTGCGTCCTATTGCTTTTTTATACTGTTTATAAGAGTCAGATTGAAATTGCTTCTTAAAATATATCAGGATAATAGGATGATTTGTATAAAAATTTGTTAAAAAATGCTTTTTTTTTATAGTGTTTTAAAATGAGATAAATGAAATGATTAGAATTATATGTCTCTTTTGAAGCATCATGTAATGTCACATTGAAGTGTCAACTGACTTTTGAGGAAAAATTGAAATATTAAGCACAGTATGCTAATTGTACATGCTATTTCATTGAGATGTTAAATTCTGTAAACATTTCAAAATTATTCTTATCAACATATACTGTTTTACGTAATCATTCGATGAATATGTACATTAACATGTTACGTGTAGCCGCCACTGTTATATAATTTGAATAATAACTTGAAATTATGGATGCGCGCGATTCGAGTTAATTAGAGAGCACTTAATGCAGATCGTATCTAATAACGTTGTGTGACGTTGATTGATTTTTGGATAAAAGCCGGTGTCATATTGAGTCTAATTATTTTGGATCCGAGTCCGTATTTGTAAACTTTCATGCCTCCAATATATTTTTACAAAAAAAAAATTAAAAACGTATTCATTTTTTTTACATCAAATCACAAGACAATAAACGATATTACGATAATATTAAATTTTATTAATAAAGTTTATTAATAAAAGTTTATTCATTTTGTTATACATAAGTGTTTTTATCGTAAACATATTCTTTCCTGTTACTGCCAAGAGAGAAACTTAGAAGGATATCTTTCTTTCTTTTACATAAGACTTTTTCTTTTTATTAAAATGCTCGAAAGAAAAGAAAAATAACAATAAATCTTTCTTTATTTTAATATGATATTAAACAATCCTCAAATATTTTCCGCAAGTAATTTCAATGTAGAGCAACAATGATAGATCGAATAGCAATGCGATGATATGCTTGAGTCAGATATAATTTTCTCTGTAACTTTCAATGTAGAAAGAACTGTTTTATAGAAGTATCTAAAAATTTGGATAGATGTAGATCTGAAATTAATTTTGTTGGACCTTCAAAATGTAGATATACGCTTAAATATGATAATAAAATCTACAAAAATTTGATCATTTTAGCAATTAATTCAAACGTTTTACATAATTATTTTGATAATCGAATAAAATTATTTTCAAATCTGTAACTAGCCAAATTTTTGGATATTTGAGCAGAATTTGTTTTTTTACATACAGATTTGAAAATAATTTTGTTGGGTCACCAAATAGATTTACATATAGGACATTCTTATTATATATATATATATATATATATATATATATATATAAAAGATATTCAAAGTGCTTATTCGAATATCAAAAACTTTTGTAATATTATGCGTTCTATATAATTATTTTAATGGTTCAAATTATTTCTGGATTTGTATCTATTCAAATTTTTAGGTACTATTGTAAAATTGTTCTTTCCGTGCAATATTGTTATTGTATTGTTGCTGTTGCTTTTTTATCATATATTGTACCTACGTAACGACAACATAACAATAATAATATTGTCGTTGAAAGTAACAGAATGACCGAGACTAGCATTGGCGAAACAAACTGTCTCACGTTTAATACACTGACGAAAAGTCGAGACACTTATATCATACAAAACGAGAGATGCAGAAATACGCAAAATTCGTAGGGGACGTATGTCGAACGAATCATTCGTAAGACTGCGTCTCCACCATTAGTCATTATCACTCGGATCGCGAAGAAAGAGGTTTGTAAGCTGGCCGAAGGCCGGCATCAAGGATCGAGTGCGCTTGGGGCTACGAGACCCACATCGACGATTGAATTTCGTATGGAAATTCGTTTTCGAGCATAACAATAGACGCGCGTCTTAGGCAAATAGCGTGCCATTTCGAAAAACAAATTCTGTTTTTTTTCCTCGGTCTCGTAGATATACAAATATTTCAAAGTACATCCGAGTCTGAGTATAATCGCGAGAGCGATTTTCTTTTATCCAAGAAATGCATAGAGAAATAATGGATAGAGAAATAGGTACAGAAATGGATAAAAAAAATGACTAAAGATAAATAAACATAAACTAGCAGATGTTAAGAACTAAGGCTACTGTTGACGCTATCAGATGGAAAACCGAGCGAAAGGATGCGGGATGTGTTGTAATCGTACGTTAACTTCAAAAATTCTGCGGCATCGAGTGAAGGACGAGGATCGAGAAGGCCGATCTATCGGCCGTCTCTGATGCTGGTTTATCCATTTATTTATTTATAAACGATCATCTCCCCTTCGTTGGCCTCGTTCAACAAAGCCTTCTTAGCCATGTGCACGATGCTCGTAATAATTATTTGCACCGATTGCAACGGTGAATTCAGCAGAAAACAGAATGTGAATACATCTTCTACTAATTATCTTCTTATTATTTTACTTATTGATTATTATAATATTTCTATTATTATTTCTATTGTTTGGTATTGCATATTTTTTTCAGTCTGTCATCCGGCTTCATAAGGAATTACATTTTATACTGACATTTTCTGAAAGAAACACTCTTGGCAAAAAGCTGCCTACCTTTGTTCCGTCTGCTTGATTAAATAATATTTCATAAACAATCTCTCCTCCATGAGATTGCCTATTTGACTATTTATCGCCTCACCTCGTAATAATGAAATACCGAAATTACG